AAATTTCATGGTCTTGAAGAGCACTGCTGGATCTAAAACTTTTGCTGCAATGGGTACATTTGTATGGCTTCTCTCCTGTATGGGTCCTTTGGTGACGAGTTAGGACATTAAGATATGCAAACGTTTTTTCACAGTAAGGGCAACGGTATGGTTTCTCTTTGTTGTGAGTCCTCATGTGACTATTTAAATGTGCACGTTGTGAGAATTTTTTCCCACACACATCACAATCAAAAGGTTTTTCTCCTGTGTGAATAAGAACATGTTTACGTAGCCTGCCCCTTTCTGTAAATCTTTTTCCACAAAGGTTGCACTGATGTGGTTTTTCACGTGTATGAACTACAGTATGGTTTCGCATATCTGATGACCTATTTGTAGAATATTTACAATGAGGACATTTAAATCTCCGATCTTCTGTTTCATTTCGATGTATTTTTCTATGCCCTTCCAACATTTTCACAGATGTAAATAGCTTTCCACACTTTTCACAGGAGTAGGAATCTTTATACAATTCTTCTTCCTTTTCCTCCTCTTGTTGTTGAATTTCAAAAGATGTAGAAGCAACATTTGGATTATTAGGATCATGCTTTGCTATGTAATGTCTCATAAGACTATTTGTGCTGGTGAAACCTTTATCACACACAGAACAGTGAGAACGCTTTTCTCCTGCATTATTTATTTTTTTTACAGCTATTTCATGGCTATTAAGTTTAACATTTTCACATGATGGTGAAGTAGGAATGTTTTTTAGATGAGCTCTCATGTGGGTAGCCAGACCGGAGCCTTTTCTGTACATTTTGTCACAAATGCTACACTTTTCAAGTTGGAAATTGGCATGAGATTTCTCATGTTCACGAAGAAGAACTTCCTCTTCAAAATATTTCCTACATTTCACACATTTGAAAGGTCGTTTATATTTTTTGTTATCTTGATGAATGGCTAAGTGAGTTAAAAGCTCAGAAAAGCTTTTGGCAGAAAAAATACAATAACTGCACTGATGCTCAACAGAACCTGATACACTATGCTGTTTCTTATGAGTCACTAAACAATCCTCTGAAATAAATAATTTTTCACAATATTCACATTTATGCATTTCAGTATCAGATAGAAGTTGTTCATCTAAATTCCTCATTCCTTCATCTGCCTCCTTATTTTCATCTAATTCAGAAAACATTTCTCCAGAACAGGCATTTTCATCCTCTTCACTTTTCTTAAGAGTCTGGTTTTCCTTCAGATTCCTGAGTATGATATCACTTTTATCACTGCAACTCTTACTGCAAAACATAGTTTTCTCATCCTCAGATCGACTTATGTCTTTTCTATTAAGAGAATGTTCTTTTATAAATCCGTTGATTTCTTCTCCATTAACAAAAACGTTTTCAGTAAATAAAGTTTCAGAAAGTTCACCATTTTCTTTTTTATTCACTTTTGCCTTATCTGTATGCCATTCAGAAAAAACAACAACAATAAATACAAATACATAAGTCATTGTTCTACATTTAGAGAAATAATATATATGTACTACTATAAGACTTCAGTACAAAACATACTTTAGTAATACAATAATTACATGTATTATTACAGATTAAAGCTGGGAGATTTAGTCGCTTACCTATAAGCAGCAATTACATCAATTAGTGTCATGTACACTAATTAATTGATCAAAATAAGTTTTTACTTTTTACTGTTTTGGGGTTATTCTGACATTAATTAATCACAGCTCCAATTATTATCAATTATTTCAAAAATAATCAACCAATGAAAATTAGTGTTTCCAGTTATTACTATTTTTAATTATTCCAACAACTAATTAATTAAAATTACAATTAAATTGACTGTCAAGAAAATAATCAATTGATCAAAATTAAAGTTTCTGATTATTCCAACTATCCATTTAATCAACATGTTGCCACCAAACTTGCTTATCCCGATTTTGTTATGACAAAGACACTAAAGATATTTACCACTGCCAATTTTCAATTACTGACTAGAGAGTAGGAAACTGACTTGCAACACCCACCACCAATTATTTTTAACTTTTTTTTGGTGAACTGTTAACTAGAAAAAAAGCAACGTTTCTGGCAGCACCTATTACTAATCTTTTGTTGTTGTTATTGTTCTTTATAGTGAGCTGTTCATTAGAGGGAAGGCAACAACTGGTTGGCAGCATCTATTGCCAACCTATTTTTTTGTTGTTTATGAATTGCTGCCTAAAGGGAAGGAAACAACTGGTTGGCAGCACCTACTGCCAACCTATTTTTTTGTTGTTGTTGTTGTTGTTTATGAATTGCTGCCTAAAGGGAAGGAAACAACTGGTTGGCAGCACCTATTGCAAATTTCACTAATCACCAAGTTCTACTACTGATGGGTTATAACATCAGTTAATTTTATGTTTCAGAAACATTTATTTTCAGAGCTCATAAACAAAATACAATCACTGTAAATGTACACACATACATACAATCACAGTCTATGTACTTCTTTCGTAACTTTATATAAACCATTTATCTTATGTCCAGAAGTTACTGATAATTGGCTTAGCATTTCAGACATTGAGTTCATTTGCATAATTGCACGGAACACATTATAACTTAAAATATAACATACGATAGGTATGCAAGTCAATTGGAAAAAACCCTTCAGTTACCTTTATGATAGATTTCTGTGTGGCACACAAGAAAATTTGAAGAGATAAACAGTTTGTTACAGATTTCACACTTGAAAGGCTCTGATGGATTCCCACATAAATCTCTGGTTTTATCTTTGTCATCAGAAGTTGACTCATTGGTAGATGTTTGTGTTTCACTTGACGAAAAGTCTTTCACTAAAGTTGCCATATTCAGTGATTTCCTATCTGCTTATGCACGCCAGAGTTCAGAATTCTGACTAAACAAAGTAAAATATAACCATTTGTACATAAGCCATAAAAAAGTAACACACAACAATATACTTTACTTTGACAGTAGAATTACTGTTTTAATTTTCTTTTACAAAATATTACATCATTGTAAGATAGCTTAAAAGTATGAACTGTTAATAAAAAAACACATCAAATATCAAATGTTAATAAAAAGACACATCCAACTTGGACACATTATGAAGCACAAGAAAGACCTATTATGGTCTGTTAAATCTGAACATGCACTTACTAATACAGAGGTGCATTTTAATTATTTATTTTGTTATAACATTTGTTATAATTTTGTTTAATCAGTTATTATTTTTCCATCAAAAGTATTAACATACATATTTGTCAAAGATATAAGTTTACACGTCACCCCTATTAACTCCAATACCTTGGTACCCGGATAGTTAATGTATACCTGTAACTAACACAAATTGACTTAAAGACACAGCAATCAGCAGCATTACTTCTGTACCCAAATGATCAAAGTGTTTGCACTTATAACTAATGCACAATGCCCACAATAATCATTATTTAGTAGCACTGCAAGGTGGTTGGATGGAAAAAAAAAATTGTTATTAATGAAGTCCAGTTAAATTGGACCCTTGTTACTGGTGGAATACCTCAAGAATCAGTGTCTGGGATTTTGTTTTTCGCTATTAACAGTAATCCTACTGACAGAGGTGTAATTAGTAAAGTATGCTGATGACATTACATTTTTGGATACTTCTAACTGTATTGAGGAATTACAGATTGACTTTATTCACCTGATAAGTTGAATAAATATTTGGCAAATTATCTTTAAGGCCAAGTCAAAAGAAAAATACATGTTTAGTTTCCCTGCCTGTTTCCTTTTTTGCAGCTGCCTTCCCCCAATTTTTTCCCTTTTGGAATTATTGTTTTTCTATCATACAAAGAAACAAAGACTTCTGAATAAAAAATGAGATGAACACAGTTGATTCATTTTGCCCTTTTTTTGTCATCAATTCTGTATCATTTTGATGAAAAAATGAAACAAAGAAGAATATTGTTTGATATGGACCCTTTGAAAACAAGTAAGTCATGAAAAAAAAGGTGCAAACTTTCTTTGAAAGACGTCATTTACAGAAAAGGGGGGCATCCTCTTCCTCCCTTTTTCAAAAACTCCATATGCTAAACTTTTTTTTTTTTTTACTTAGCCTAATTATAACAAGTTCAAGGTACTAAAGTTTGGGATATCAAAACTTGGATCACATGTTTAATATAGGCTAAAACCTTCTCAAAAGAATGAATGAAGAGAAGAATCATGGCAGCAAACAAGACACTCAATTCATGTAACTAGTGTTCTGTTGTAGTAGAAAATTTTAAGGTATATCTATCAACATATCTATTACACATTTCAAGAGAAAATTATGCATTACTGGAATACTGTATAGTTTTGGTTTGAATTACTGGAATGGGAAAACAGGAAATTCTAGAATGAATTCTGGGATGGAAGTTATCCTACAGAAACAGATTAAGAACTTAAGAAAAGAAGGGAAAGAGGTGATTTGTTTTCCAGTTTAGATTATTTGGAGGATCAATAGGATAAAGGTCCCATATTTCTTTGTGCTATATTCTGTGGTTAAGAGAATGAGAAAACTAAACTAAGATTTGGAATAAAAAGACAGGCTAGACTACTGGTAAGTTTTATTTTTCTAACAGGGTGATTGACTAAAACTATAACAGAATAAGCTGTCATTGGCAGTAGCAGAGACCAGCAACTTACAAGAATTTAAGAGAGTAATCAGTTATTTTCTGAAAAATAATGACTACTGGGTTTATATCTTTACTTTTCTCATGGATGGCTGTGCAAGAATGGCCATGAATGACAAAATAGTCTCATGTTATCCATACACTATACCAAAGAATTAATGGTTGAAAACATGTACCATTACATAAACTAAATATAAAACATTGATTTACTGCAGCTACATGAGAACACAAAGAAAAGGAAAGTATTATAAGGTTTTTGCTGGCTAACCATAGCATTAACAGGCAACGTTATACACATATCTGGCTTAAATCTATGGTAACATTATTTAAGAATTATGTCATGCTTTACTTTACACTATGCTTAAAAGTTCAACTTACAAAACTAAAAAATCTGTTCTTTTGTCATAGCCCTATATAACAAATTTAAAATCTCAGGAGCTCATCATTTATTGAGACATAACAGTATCAATTTGTTGTAATTGTTGGTTTGAATAGATTTTAATGAGAACAATAATATGTTTTGTTTTTTTATAAATATGTTTTCACAGTTTGATTTGCAATAATCAACATTAAATAATTTTCTACTTCTGTACATAACTAAATGCACTTGGACATACGTGATCTTTCTGAAAAGATAGTACAAAATGCCTAGTACTAGTAGTAGTAGTTGGGATGCTTGAAGTTATGAAAATATGAAGACACAAGTATTTAACTTTGTTGGAGAAGTCAGCCTAGTCTGGCAGTGATCAGCGATAAATGAATTCTAGAATCAGGCCTTTATAATTAACATCACAAAATGTTCTCATACTGCATTACTATTTGTATACTATCTAACGTTAGGCCTATTAGTATTACAGTTTTTGATGTCGTATCGTTTAGGTTTATCGTCAAGGGCCGTCTAATCGATATAACCTCTAGTCTCTACAGCATGCAACTTGTAACTTATAATGAATTTCTTAATTAGTACAAATTATTATAGGAAAATGTTTATCATGACTCAACTCTCAAAACATCGTAATTTTTGTGCATACGTTATCTATATTTAAATTTTAAGTTAAACTTAAAGTCCTAACTCTGCCCTAACCTTAATAATAACATGCCAAACATAATTTATTATAGTATATCACGTTTCGTCAGATTAACGAAACAACAATAACAGAAATAAATAGATAAATAATACAATCGAGCCATAACCCTAATAGTAATATTACGGTTAAACCTTATAAATATAACATTATATATACTGACTATACCGTCTTATCTGAATAACGTATTGCTAACTAGACTCGGCAGGGGTACAAAACTCAAATATGCAGAATAACAGTATTACTACTAGTACTAACTGTTTCCACGTTTTCTATTTGTTCAATCTCTACATTCGGAGCTCTAAATAAACACATAGTTATTAACTAATAAACGTAGGTTCCCTTGAAATTATACTCTGCATTTTAAAGAACTAAGCTTATATACACCAAATGAGATTATAATACAACTCGTTCAGTTTATACCAACAGTACCATATCACCTGGTGCTTAAGTAGCTTTTCTGAGTATAAGATTAAGTTTGTTTTGCTATATATGCAGATTATTGTTACTTTATGATAACAAGAACCAGGAGTAGGGCGCCTTCAAACGCGAATAAAAATATACTTTTTAAATAAATTGTGTTGTTTATTTCTACCCATTTCCCAGTGTTTAGTTTGTCTGTTTCAAAATGTTTCCGTAATTCTTCACATTTTTTTCCAGATAAAAACTGTAACTTTTGGCTTGAAATAATTAAAATACACTGCCTCCTGCTCACAATAGTAACTTTCAGCAACCTTCTCGGTTATTTATAGTATTTTTGCACTTGTGTATAAAGTTAAAATCATAAATAATATTCAACGTTAAACTGGTGCACAATTATATTCCAAAAGTTACATCTTAGTAGATGCTTCACCGTAATGTGCTACCACCTATAAGCAATTAAACTCAAAACGCTTTTGTTTTATACATAATGTTGCGTCTCTGGTCGTTTGCTAATTTCCC